GCACACTTAATGGCAGTTGGGATTTATTATGACAGTGTTAGGACCAGAAAATGGTTGTACTTTTGAGAAAGCTCACAGTGATAGTTAAATATTTTAGCGATCAAGCAGACAACACAGAGTGTGGGTGTACTGGAGAACGTATGAGTGATGCTTCTGGACACTGTCTTCCAGGAGGCAGCATTAAAAGTGACCTATGTCTGTTCTTCTGCATTCTGGACTTAAACAACTGAGGGTCGAAAATACTGAGAAAAGCAATACACCTGTATGGACTTCTTTTGTGTTATTCCCTGAGCAATACAGTGCAGTGCTGCTTAGCTAGCATTCATGCTCCATTAGGAACCGCAGAGGGGAGATGAGCTTGAGCATACAGCGGTGTGCACTGGTTATCTGCAAAGCCTGAAAGTTGTTTCATATAAATGGCTTGAGCATCTGCAGGGTTCAAGCAATTGCTCCGTGGACAGAGGACGACTGTGCTCATTTTCTGCCCCTTCCTAAGGAGCACCTCCCAACACATCCTGACCACACAGGGTGGGAAGGAAGCAAGTTGCACCCTGCTACACGTAACTGAAAAACTACAGGGTAACAGACAATGCTCAGCCTGCGCTGCCCCATTCAAACACAAAGGCAGAGGAAAAGGTCACGCTAACAATCTGCCAACGCACTGTTTTGGGGAACACGCACATGTGAGCAGAAAGCGTAGGACTTAGACATTTAAATTTCCAGGGGTTAGCCCATGCTGGAACATGCTTGTGGGAACCTACTTGCTCTGAGCTGATAAAAGGCAACAAATATGCACTAAGCCAGCACTGAAAGGAGTAGATGTTATCACTGCAACTTGTTTCCTTACCAAGTTTGCATTTGTCATTAGAAAACTGTTGAAAATTTTCCTGGGTATTTTTTCCTTCATTTTGTTTTGTGTTTCCCCCCCCCCCCCCGACAGTATTCTGACTCTGAGACATGCCAGGAAGTCTGGTCAGATTGGTAGGACTCTTTCATGAGGCTGGGGAGGAACCAGGGAGACCACCTGGAGAACTTGTCTATGGACGTTTGTCAAGAGCTGGTTGCAAGCAAAGCATCAGTTACACAATAGAGTGTGTGTGAGAGTGTGTGGGGGACAAAGGTAAGACAGGCAGTTTCTGCCCTTAGGAGTTTCTTGTCTATTAGGGGAAATCGGCCGGTCTGGCATAAAATAGGGCACTGGGTTCTAATTCTGTCATTGATTAGCCATGATTGTATAGGGTGGGAGTATTGTCTTATAAGATGAAGGCATTATAACATGAAGGAGTTAAATATAATCAGCACGATTCTTCTTTTCTGGTGGAATTAGGGTTTGAATTCAGGGTGTTGCACTTGTTGGGCAGGTGCTCTACCACTTGAACCATACCTCCAGCTCTTTTTTGCTTCAGTTTACAGATAGGGTATCACTTTTTATTTCTCCCTTGGACCATGATCCTCCTACCTATGCCTCCCTTGTAGCTGGGATTACAGATGCTCAGCTTGTTAAGACAAGGACTCACTAAATTTTTTTCCAGGGCTGGCCTCAAAGCTCAATCTCCCTGATCTCTGTCTTCCAAGTAGCTAGGATTACAGGCATTTACCACCATGCCCGACCCTGTTAGTAGTATTTCTTTAAGTATATTCCAAATAAAATGAAGTCTGCCTAGAGAAGTTTGCACTCCGGGCAGCACTAGATTTTCAATGCATTTAGGGTAGCGGAGGTTTCCAAAGTCCTGCCCTGAAGAAAGCTTCTAAAGTTGGCATTACTCAAACTTATTTGACATGACACCATTAGCGTTTGCAGACTATGCTTTGGAAAATGGTCTTTATGGCCCTTTTAGCTTTAAAACTCTGTTAGTATGCTTCTTTAGATCCCGCCACTTCCATCCTTTTTCACCATGTATTTGGTATTTCATCGAGTCTGCAGCCTCTCATTATTTTCCATGACCTTTACTACTGTTAAAACTTATGTGAAGTTAAAACAGCGTTTTAGGTGACTTATAAAATCCATGCAAACTCTAAAAGTTTAGGGTTCTTTGAAAACATTCACAAGCATTACTGAAGATTAAAACAGAATGATATAACCCAGGTTGTCACCATTACAGTAGCAATGTTTACTAAATAAGACCTTTGAGATCAGATTCATGGGTTGGGGTATAGCTCAGTGGTAGCATGCTTGCCTACCATGTGCAAGGTCCTCGGTTCAATCCCAGAACTGCAAAAGAAAAAGTGCAGTGAGATTCATGTGTTTCAGATTCAGCCAGAGTATCATCAGATTCCTGGCAGAGGCTTGAGGGTTAGGAATGACACCAGAATACAGTCAAGAGACAAGAAACTTGAGAATAACCACACAAGGCTACTAGCCAACACCCAGTTGGGTAAAATTCTAGTTTCTTTTTTCCATGTATGATTGCTTTATTTGATTTTTAGCTCTGCCTTAACCTTTAGCAACTCATTTCTTCTTTAGCCTCATTTCCCTAACAATAGAAGGTTATTCAAAATCAATTTTAGGAATGGAGGGCTAGGGGTATAGCTCAAGTGAGAGAATGCTTGCCTAGCAAGCACAGGCACTGGGTTTAATTCCTAGTACAGAAAAAGAAAAAATCAAAGACACTCATTAGTTTTCTCAATTTCCCAAGTGCGTGATTCATTAGCACCCCAGAAGACAGAGCTGTCTACTTTATCTCACAAAGCAACTGAACTCCTGCTCCTCTTCCACTACAGATCTTACAGTAATATCTTGTTTTGGTTTGATCTGCGTTCAGGGGTTTGGGCACCATTGCTGTATAGAACAATGACACTAGCTGGGCCACCAAATGGGTTTCTTTTCCTTCTGTATACAATCGGGGATATATAGGGTGTTGAATGCCTCATAGACCAGAATACTTCAGCCAATGAGGGTGCAGCAGAGATGGAAAGAGACTGATGAAACTTGGGCCTGAGGCCTTTGGTGCAAGTAAAGAACAGGCACTGTTTGACAAAAAGAAATAAAGCCTAAGATTTCTATGGCTTGCTTCAAATATAAAGGAAAACCTAGGAGTATTTTGTAATTATGCCCCAAGAGACAGTTTATATTGGCTTATATACAGAATTACTGCTGACATAAAGTTAGGAATAAAAGAGCCTTATGCTAATTTTAAAGGGAAATTAAAACAAGGTTTAACACAAGACTCTCTCCTTTCTTTCAATAACACTTTGGCATCTAATTGGATTAAAGTTGAATGATCTTATCAGTACTCAAGAGAATCATAGCATGTACACAAAATAGAGAATAAAATTTTTAATAGTATCAAAAACAACTTTTTTGTCCAATTTAGTACTTGCTGGAATAAAGTTGGAAAATGTTACTCAGTACCTGACTTAGCTTCTAAGTCAAGCCAGAATTATGCACACTGTGTATTTCTGGAGTATATACAAGTACATCCCACGATAACATGCAGAGACATGGAAAAAAGAGGACTGTTAAGACCAAAATCGCCATCAATATTGATGAAATAATGAATTGGAAACAAACACTGGTCCAATAATTCAGAACATCTATTTTGAAAAGGAGGTGCTGAATGTTGCTCTTTCTAAGAACTCAAATAAATTTGACTGTTTCCTCAGTAGGAAAAAAAAGGAAGCAGGTATATCCTTCGGGTATGGGAACATACTTTTTCTTTTACTCAGTGACATCAAATTTAAATTAAAATCCTTGACAGAATTTCACTCTTTTAAGGTAAAAAGGGTTCTTTACATTCCAGTGGTTAAGGAGGAATCCCTTCAAGCTCTTAGGCATCTGAGTGTCATACCACCTACAGCAACACATGCTCACGTACCTTTAATGACGGTCATACAACATGGGTTTAATTTTCCTGAGAACTAAATTAGACCTACAAAATAAACAGGCTATGAAAATGACCTGAGTTCATAGGAATCTCTAAATTCAAAAGAGATTGCTTCAGCTTTGCTAAGATCTCATCAAAAGCTTTTTATAGCAAGAGTTTCTAAGTGAGTCACATACTTGGTCACAGAGCCTGGAATTTTTAAAAACACTAGGAAGAAGTGCTTTATGTTGTGCAAATTCAACGGAAGGCCAATACAGCCAACAGTACTGATGGTGCAGAGTGAAACCTATGAGTAAGCCGCAGACTCTACTGTCCTATAAAGAGGGGAGCGGGGGAATGTGCTACTGACTATCTCTGCTCCCATTGGACAATGATTACTGGGAGGCAAAGAAATTCCGTACAAGCTAAGTAAAGACAGCACCTTGAGTGGCACCTAGTGGAAGCCACTCAGAAGCAAGGGCTAGTTGTGGCAGAGACAGCTACGATCCCCTCAGTAACTCTTCCTTTGTATGTGAGAAACCAAGAATGTATATATAGGGGACACATTGGTTTCATGGTCACTTCTTAACTTCTGTTACTGTTTGCAGTCTACTAAGAGGTGACATGTGAATCATTAGTCACTAAATAGCATACAAAAGTTTATAGTGTAGCTTCAATCCAAGCTTTTTTGATTTGCTATATACTCTAACTCAAGGCACTTTAAATATTTTGGTGCCCTGGTGTTCCAACATGTAACATGAGAATAATGCTCATTTACTTACCTCAAGGAGCTCCTTATTAAATGGATTACTGAATGTACACCTCTTAAAGCACTTTGAGCTCCTCAGATGAAAAGCACTGTGGAAATAATTAGGTTGAGGAAAACCCTTCCAGTGCCTCAGCATCCTGATTTATTTTGCCTAAGCTTCCATGTTTCCTTCAACACTTAAAAAATAAAATTTGTTAGTGGTACTTCATCCCTTCATATACATTAACTATTTGGCACATAAATGTTTATACATTTCAAATAGTTGTCATATATCCTATTCCAAAGATTTTTTTTTACTAATTTTCTAGTAGTTAATGAAATGTACCCAAAATAGAGTACTTTGTGTGAAGCTTACAAAAATTTTAGCTTTCTCTGAGGTACATGTGATATAATAAAAAGTTCATTTTTAAAAAATAATTGAACTAGTATTGTGTGAAACCACGAGTTTTTAATGAAAAAAAAATACTGAATATGCCACAGTGTTGTATGTTCATCTGAAGAGTACAAAGATGGAGTTCTGAGAAAAGAAGGTCTTACCACTATAGAAAATAAATGTGGTTCTTAAATTATGTTCAAAGGGAACATTAAAAATGTAATGTTTCATACACTGAAATAAAGCATTTAGTCAGGTAATAAATTATAAATACAGTGGTTCAAATACTGTTTTTTAGCATTAGTTTTTCTAAATAAGTTAAATTTGAAACATTTTAATGTTATGGTCTTCTTTCAAAGGAAGTGGAAATGGAAACTTGTACAGGAATCTAAACCAATGATAGTGTCATGTCACCTTTAACCTAGAATGCACTGGAACTTGACCATTTTACATTTATATTTTGGTTAGTGCAGCAGATTCAAATCATTGATACGTCTTTACACCTTGGGGAAATTAGATTGTGACTGATAACCTTTATTTGCCGTTCTCCCAGACTTTCCTCAATTCCAGGTCTTGCTTGATTCTCTGTGGGGGTTCTGTCAGACTCACAGTCAGAATGATGGAAACTGTAAGTAGCTTCTTTAGGACTGAAAACATGTTTTTTCTTTTTTAAAAGTAAAATAAAGTGCTTTTAAATTCAAATATTTCTTGCCCTAAACAAAACTGGAACAAAACTTAACCCTGACAGCTCCATATCTTGACACACACATTTAACAGAAAAAAAAAAATCAGTTTTGGGTCATTAATGTCCTTCAAGAGTTCAGATTGGGTCTAAACTGGGTTTCGCATCATTATTGTGCTCATGTTTATACATGAAGGTTAAAAGAAAGAGGGCGACATCCAAGGATGACCAATAGGCAGTATGTGATGTGACGGCTGACCAATAGCGGCTCTCCACAAGGCCTTCTCGGAGTTCAAAATCAATCCTGTGATCCAATTCCACTACAAAAAATCAAACAAGTAAAGATTACTTATGACAACATATGTTCAAGACAAAGTTGTTACAATTGAGAGTAACTAATGGAAATGGTTTTCTAATACTCCTCCCCTCAAAGAGACTTTTTGTTTTAACCTTATGGGACGTTCAAATGAGCTTTAGTAGTTCAGGATTCTATTTGGAGTTTATTTCTTTGTTTGCTCAAGTTGAAAGAAAAAAAAATTTGGCATCATGGCATATTTTTGGAAAAAAATTGGGCTCAAATTATAGATTAAGTATTACCACTTAATCTTTGTTGCTAGTCTGCTAAATAGGGAAACACCACCCTTAAGAATTATGATCAAGGTTCCAAGCATAATGCTTATGGGAGCCAACCACACACTAGTTTGCATTCTGGGATGCAAAGTCTGGGATGTTCAAGTACCCATTAAATGTTTATTCCAAAGAACCCACTGGATGGCTAGGAAATAGTGATGATTCTTGGGAGGAAGGACTTTACTTGTAACAACGCTGTTCTCAACTGAGTGTGCATTCAATTAAGACTTTTCTAAATCCCACATAAGGTCCTTCTAATACTTTTTAAAGAAAAATCATCTTAACAAATGAAAGCTCTAAGAAAATCTTAATGGGCTCACTTCACAGATCCTTAGAGATAACACTTACAAAAATGACATTCTGCAAGGTCAGGTGACACATGCCTGTAATCCCAACACTCAGGAGGTACGTGCAGAAGAATTGTGAATTCAAGACCAGCCTGTGCTATACAGCAAGAGCCCATCTAAAAAAGACACTGTAATCTTCAGAAATTCCTTTAAAACTATCAGTGAGCCATACAGTATTTTGAAGGGTCTATTTTACAAACAAAACAAAAACACCTAGGTTACTACCAGACACTTAAAGTCTCCTGTTTGTTCAGAGTGCCAAAGGACGTCAAATGTAAAAATGGGCAAAAATGAAGAAAACTGGATGAAAAAATTGAGTTTTGCTTTACACTGGAAATTTGTTGTTACACACAGAAAATCCTGTCACTCTAGGAAATAACTTTACTTATAAAATAAGCTAACCCACAATAAGTCAGAAATAGCTGAAATCCACATGGACCTGTGAGGTAGGAATGCCCTAATCCTTTATCTTTTGCATTCCATGGGCCTCTGAAGGCACAACAGTCTGGAAGATGAAACAAAGAAGAGGAAACTGGAATTCTCAGGCAAGTAAGAGGAGTCAAGAAGAAGTTGCTTATAAAAAAAAAAAAAAAAGGGGAAAAGCCGAAGAGACAGGAAACCTATGTGGTGAGGACCACCACGTTAGACCGTCTTAAGAATTTACTTGCAAATGCCAGTGCATCATCAAAGGGAGATTTTTCATGTTACAACCAGTGTTGTTTGGCACCATTTTGATCTTATGTTCCTCAAATTTATTCTTAATGTTACTACTGTCTTACAACAGTAGTAACATTCATAGACATTCAAATGTTAAATTACTGTCCTATTATGTGTCCTTGTCATTCTTTCATTCAAAGGGACTTTAATTATGTCATTAACTAAATTGGTTCCCTCTATTCTATTTGTCTGGGTTGCACTCAACAACATGGGCATTAGGCAGACAGTTTCTTCCCGATGAAATTGTTCTAAGTCTCTCATCTTCTTAACAGACTGGCTGTCAGTACAGAACTTCCCATCAGTTAGTTCTGAGTTGTGTGGAAGGATAGATGGAACTAGGTGGGCCTGTGCCTCCTCTTCTCTTTCTCTTTTGCATGGATCACAGAATTTCAAGGGAGCGAGGTTCTACATGTGCTGTGCAGTACGCTCCTGCCCAGAGCTTAGATGAAAATGGAGTTGCCTTGGATCTGCTTTCTCATTACTACCATCCCAAGAATGGGTGGCACCACACAGGCTGCTGATTCTCTTAGTTTCTCTGCTGACTTGGGTCAGAGGGAAAGGAGATAATAAAATTACCACTTTTCTTCTTTTACCCTCCTTCAAAAGCATATGTGTTAGATTTTTTTTTTAATCTACATAGACAGAATATAGTTTTTGGACTGTTGAAGAAAAGTAAAAATGAGAAAGCAGCTCTGGTTTTATATATACATGAATTCTTTGCTGTTTTAAGACACATATTTTATTTCTGGGGAGTCACACATATGGCCTATTTCCTTCCCCATTTTCCAAAGCAGTGTGTCTTGCAATCTCCATAGTATGAAGGTCAGTCATTAGTACTGTAGTTTCATTAGAGAATTCTTCAGTGTACAAGGTTTGTTAATATGATTACGGTACTGAAAAACAGCATATATGAATAGAAAGTAAGCATCTTTGTATTATAATATGTACTAACTGAAAAGTTTCTATTATTTAATGGAAGCACCTCAACTTTTCTGAAGAGGAAATTTCAAAAATGTAGTGACTAATAACAGGCTATCTCACGTGTAAGTAATAATTATGGTCATAATTGTATGATATCTGGCTTCAGATAAGCACCAAGAAAAATACTTAAAAGTAATAGTCAAGGATAACTTATGCTTTCAAGTGACTAGTGAAAGATTCACTCAGAAAAGGAAGGATTATGTTCACTTTAACTTAATTCTGTGCTGTCTCAGAGCAGCTACACATTTTATGTGGTTAAGTGTTTGACACTCAAGGAATATTTACAACTTGTGAATTACAGTTCCAAAATATATTTAAGAATATTCTCCAACTACCCTTCATTTAAAAAAAAAGAAAAATTCCAAAATGAATTTTATAATTGTCATTTCAAAAATTTTTCTTAATATTATTTATTTCCGATTGTTTGTTGCTAGCATACACACACCACACACACACAATTGCTATCTGTATATTGGCCTTGTATCATGGCATTTTGTTAAAGTTATTGTGTTGTGTTCCTGAGTGAAGATTCCTCAGGATTCTTTTGGATGTTCTTTGTTGATAGTTAAGTTATCTGTGACTAAAGACAACTTTCCATCTTCAAAAAAAATTTTTTTCTTTAAACACATTTATCCTGGAAGACATTCAAATTCCTAACAGTACACAACTAAACTCTGAATATAAAAATTCCAGGAAATAGCCAGATTTGTTGGCCTCTCCACAATGTGGCTTAATAGACTTTTCCAAATGTATTCATAAGCACTCCCACTCCCACTCATTGGAGGCTCTTCTCAAGCAAACTGACAGTTCTCAACATACCCTGTGGATCTTCTCATGCACTCTCTATTCATTTCTGCATGTCCACTTCCTACTTCTTCCACAAAGCCATGTATGATTTCTCCAGGTGAAAGCAATCTCTCATTCTTCAGCATTGACAGATCCCTTTCACCTGTAGCTCTGCTACATGGCTCATCACACACTACCATGCAATTGCATACTTATCTTCCTTCCCTACTAGAACATATGCTCTCTAGAAAATATTTCACTTCATACCAGTGCTTAATAACTGTAGGTAGTGCTGAAATCTATTTCATTTGATATTGTTTTAAGTGACTACCATGTTGGCTCATGGTAAACATTTAATAAAGTAACTGAATGAGTGAAAACAAGGAAAACAGAAGTCCTATCGTCCTATCAATGTTGCCAACTGAATCTTTTTGGTGTAGATATGCTCAGGGGCTTAACTACTTGGGTAAGTGAGGACAGTCTGGAAATACAAGGGCTATGTGATCGTATGGCAAATACATGGGCAGATCCATTTCCCTTCTATCTAAAATGCAAAAAACATAAGTAAAATTAAGTCTTTGGCTGGAGATGGAGCTTGGTGATAGAGCACTTGCCTAGTATGCACAGGATCCTGGTTTCGATCCCTAGCAATACACACACACACACACACAACACACTTTTTTTCTTTATGGAAGTGTTTGGCTATTATATAAGCAAGAAGCAGAGAGATTACTTATATATGATCATTTCTTGAGGAGAATTCACTGAGTTAGGTCAAACTATTGCTATGGAGCAAAAAACTCAGCTTGTTACACTAAAACATTGTTTTTGAACTTGTATTAAGTAATGTTTTTTTTGATAACTGAAGAAAATTATGAAAATTATCAAACAGAGCTGGACATGGTGCTCATGCTTATAATCCTAGCACTCAGGATGCTGAGGCAGGAGGATATGAATTCAAGGCTAGCCTGGGATATATATAGAGTCCCTATCTCAAAACAAAAACAAAAACAAAAACAACCCCCCCCAAAAAAACCTAAAACCAAATGAAAAAATAAAATTATCAAATAAACTGTAAAATTAAGTGTAGTTAAAATATCCAAAGAAAACCCTAACTGTGTGTTTTTAAAATCAAAGACAAAATCCAATATTAAAAAGAAAAATAGGAAAAAGAAGCTGTAGAAAAAGGAATGAGAAATTAGTCACAGAAATAATTTTAAACTGTTAAGATTAGTCCTTGGGGTTGGGGATTTAGATTAGTGGCAGAGTGCAAGGCTTTGGTTTGGTCTCTACCGCCAAAAAATATCCTTAGTGATACATGTTAAAAGTTAAGAGACTGAAAATATCTCTTGAATCCAATAATACTATTTTTGTAAAAGTCAATCTACTCCCATGAAAGTATAGATGTATATTTGTGTTGGAACCAGATATCAATAATGGCATACCTACAACTCTAAGTGTTAATGTTACTGATATCTGAAACCTTTTTATATCTAAGTATATTACACGAAGAATAGCATATGTCTTTAAAGACTTTAGGATAATAAAGAAGAAACTGGACTAATGCCTTTTTCCCTCCTCTAAAAGGTTCCTTCTTTGAAGGAGTTATACCGGAATATAATATATTTTAGTACATTAAATGGCTAATCAATACTTGGTTTTAGGAATACTACCATTTAAGATTAGAAAACATGAACTCTAAGTAGATAATTTTCATAGTGTTCTGAGTGCTATTCCTAACAAATACCATACCGAGGGCATTATCTTTATTCTGCATTACATTTTCCGGAAAAAGAAGTTGTGGGAGATAAAAGAACGATTCTTGAAGTCTGAAATCTGTGAAAAAAAACAAACAAGATGCTGTAAAGTCGAGGCTGGTGGTTAAAATGGCCTTCAATGTTGCAGTGGCCAAAAGTTAGAACAATACTTCTAAATAAGGTGATTAAGCCTAGCATAAAGAGGTATACCCCTTGGTTTTTGTGAAGAGCTCTTTCATGGAAAATGTAAGCATATTTAAATTTTGAAGTATAATGTTGTAACCTGGTAACAAGGAGATAGTCCTCAAATTTGTGGCTAATTTAGGTTCCAATCTAAACAATGCTAAAAGAATCACAGATCTTTTCATCTCATATGTTACAAACACAGGGGGCACAAGAAATGAAACCATGAAAAGAAGCCTAGACTTTTCAAAAGAAATGAATAGTTACATAAGACAAATTGACTTGATGAAAATAAAGAGATTCCAACTGACCACAGATTCAAAGCCTGTGTTCTTACCATCAGACAGCGAGAGAATCAAAGACAGTGGCTTCAGAATAAGGGTCATTCAGAAGAACTAAGGTAACCAATGGGAGTAAAAGGAAGAAAGGAAGGTAGGAAGCCAGTCACCTAATCACAACGACCAAGTTCCAGAAAGAAGATTTAAGGCAGGAAAGCTTTCTAATTCGAAAGATATAGCTGAGATAGCAGTTATGACATAAGGAATTTGTCTAAGTCCAGATTATCTAGAAGGGTGTATTATCGAAGCAAGCCAAAGAATTAGTACAGTAAATAATGGGGATGTGACTTAAAATTCGGAATTCTGCTACAGTAGTGTGACTGTAATCTTCACATCTATATTTTGAGATGAATATATATATATATGTAAAATCAAGACTCATGATTAGTTCAGATTTAGCTGAGACTACAGTTGACAAGAATTTACCATTAGGACTAGCAAATAATTTGTATGCAAGAACAGAGAATATGGCTGGGACTGTACTGCACAAGGCCCAGGGTTTGAAAAGAAAAAGAGAGTATGTGTTTTGTCAAGCTAACCATCTCTACCAACTATAGTTCTGAAAGAAGAAATAAGAGGCTTCTCATTATCATTTTGAAATTAATACATCAAATACTAAACAAACGAAGCTTTCTTCCCTTAGATCCTATAAATCGTACACACGTTTTCATTACTACTTTTCTGGAGCTCTGCTCTTGCTGTGGTCTCCTTGTTCCCTCATTCACCCTACTGTGTTAGCATTACTGCTGTACATTACCAATATCATAACGAACCATGAGTTGTTAACTGCTACCTTTCAAATTTCTTTCAAGTTAATTCCCTTAGAAGTTAAGAGTTTTAACATCTGCATGTTACTACAGAATTTTATATATTCATAATCACATTTTTGATATTAAGTAAAAACTAGAACTTAAGTCAGCAATAGCATAGAACTCATAGGAAAACTAAAATGTGAGTTTTACACAAATATCAAAGTCTAAAAAGAATTTTCTATACATTATTCAAAAGGCTTACAATCATAAAATTTTCAGTACTCAGGAAGCTTAAATTTAAAAATGCTGTTGGCCCAAGTAGGAGTGGCTAAGCCCTAGTGATAATCCGACCTGGTGTGGTGGTGACTTCTGGAGGAACTGTTCTTCCTGTAGGACCATCACACCTGAACTTACTTCCTTTTTAAGTAAGCTTATGGATGGCATAAAGCTTATGCTGGTCATTTCAAAATTTAGGGTAGTTGACAAAGTAAGAACACAATGCTACAAGTAACTGAAATATATTTAAAAAAATTTTTTAAAGATAGAAAGTTTTCCTCTTGTTAAAGTTACAAAAAAGGGAGTACCTGGTTTCAGAATTCATATTTCCTCTTTCATTGTCAATGGGAAAATAAGACTTGATGTACTAGCTGTATTTTACTAGACACTTAAAAATAATGTTCAAGCTTTAGACTTCCAGAAGTAAATACATACTAAATGTATTAGTGTTTTACAGCTAGTCAAGGTTTTAAAGTTTGTACGCCCACTGGAAGAAAATCAAAAAGTCCCATTCTAAAGCTAAGTTCAACATGACGATCCAGTCACTCACTCATTTTTTGAGCCATATAGTGGAACTAATAAAATTTCTAAGCTTTGAAGGTCTTGTAGGCTAGATCAGAGGAGTTGTGGGATTAGTAGCTGAATGGCTTTCACAAGCAATTTTAAAGTCTCAAAACCACATAAAGCATAGATTTGAAGCAATTACATGAAATCTTAACCCTGAGAAAACCATATTAATAAAAATACACTTTATAAAAATTAGGGGTACTTTCCCGAAAGAGATTTACTTATGCTTGACATTTTAGACCCTTACGCCAGAGGCCCTGATTTGGCTATTAATTCGCCCATGCAGGAACTGCAACTGCAAAAAATATACGTGGAAGGAAAATACTTTTTCTATAAAAACTAAGGTTTTTTCGAGAGTTGATCTTTCTTATCCTCTTAAGTTTTAAAAAGTTTAAAAAAGATAACAGTATAAACTCAAGGAAAGAACTGTATAACTAACATGCAGAATCAAGAAAGCCAGAACTGCTATGTGGAAGGGTCTGTGTTGCCACAGTGGTAGTAGAAGGCGAGGTAACCGGCTTCTTCTCATCTTCTATTGTGTCTTTTGATGTGTCAGATGGCTGTGATGCAGATGAGCGACCAAATCTTGAGAACAACATTCCTCCAAGGCCCTTTCCAATGCTAGCAGCTCCTGCATTTCACAAAACAGGATAGTCATGCTATTGAATCGCACCACACTCTAAGCTGAAGAGCACCACCCACAATTACAGCCAATTGGCAGAGGAACCAGGTCCTACTCATGCCTTTTCAGGGTGGAGACATAAGAAAATTATAATTTGTACTGTAGGTTTTTAAATAAAAATGGTGTTGAAAAGAAGAAAAAGTCGGATAAACTCTAGGAATGAAGCTTATAGGAATATACAACCAAAGGAAAAAAGATAGATATTATTTTATTCAAGCAACAGTTGTTAATGAAATATTTAGCTAGATTAAAACCTCTAATAAAAGAACCATGCCGTTACATTGGTATTTAGTAAGTATGGAAGTTTTAAGTGGATTTGTTATAAAAAGCCATTAGTAAACAATCTGTGAGTATAATGAACTGAAGTAGCAAATGAGTCTAGTAGATAAGGCCTACTTATAGTGCCATCTTGTGGCATTTTATATAAATAGGCAACTTGTAACTAAAGCAATGGACAAATTCAAGTGGTACATAATTGAGTTCCAGTGATACTCCCAAACTTGGTATTATAAAAGAGAAATTAAATGTGCTTGTTTCCCTCAGGAAGCATATAGTTTGAGAGACTTTTAGAACATTCTGGTGGGGGAGTACCCTTAGAACACAAGTATGCTCTCATTTCACAGATGAGAAGAAGAGCATTAAAAACTACAAAATTTGATCAAGAACTCCCAGTATGTGGTAGTGTGAAGATTAAAATGAGGGACTTCATTCTCTGAATAATGGTTTTTCTGGTCCTTCAGCTAGCTCACATTCTAAAACCGGAGGACCTCCTCATCTAATCAGAGAACTTGAGTTTTTGGTCCTCAACTATGCAGTCAAGGGGTATTAGTTCTAGGAGAATAACTAATGGAAGTTTTGTAATACAGAGTATTCAACCCCCCCTCCCTCAACTTAGCATCAATACACAAGTACTTATGTTCATAGGTGAGGAATGTACAAGAGGAATTACCTAATATGCTTGCTTTGCCTATGTTAGTTATAGATTCTCCATAATGTCGGCGCGATAAGACTGGTGAGGTTACAGGGCTCGGTATGGCTGCAATGCCTTCATTCTCTGAAACTGAGGTAGGTTCTTTTGCTGGGTTGAGAAAGCTTGGCTTCATATGCTCATAAGGTAGAGGATTTGAAGTATTGTACCAGTGGATCTGGACAGGTGAAATGTTGCTGTAGTGTTTCAGTATTAATGGTTCTAATCTATAAGCCTTGATTTAAAAAAAATTCAAAGAAACACAACATTAATGCACAGTGCTTGGATTTTGATAAAATGCTTATTCTAATATATTGCATGCTTAAATAGATCTTAATGATGAAATTGTAAGTGGGTATCTCAAACATATATTTATATTTGCTGTTATAGTATGTAGTTGGTCTAATTAATATTACATAATGATGAGATCATAAATAAAAATTGGAGTTAGTCTTGACTAACAGTGTCCATTAACTTGTTTTTCAGAGAAACAGATTTTCATTATGTTCTGATATCATCTATCAATTAGATTTATGTCAATCTCATAAAGCTCAAGTAGTAAATGATGTGGAAATAGAAAATAAGGTCAATTTTTAAATTTTTAGATTTCTTATGAAGCTCAATTTTTAAATAGATTAATATAGTAACAGCACAAAGTAGATGCCAACAAAAGACCACTTGTTTAATGTGAAGAAAGAATGATACAGTAGAAAAGATGTAGCAGCGGAATCTCCAAGCTCATATTCTGTTCTCTGTTCCTTATGAACTGTTTGATGCTTGTTAGGTCATTAGGTCTCAGAGCCTGTTTCCTGAACTGTAGAAAGGAGGTAACACTTCCTCCCTTATAGGCATGAGAGAAAGAACAGATAATGTCTATAAAAGCTGCTTTGTACAGTTCTGACACACTATTAATAAAAGTGTTAGAAAAAGTCACAGAGGTTGGGGGTGCAGCTCAGTGGTAGAGTGGCCATGGTTCCATCTCCAGCACCAAACAAATAAAACCCCCAAATTTAAGATATACAAAGAAGAAAGCTCAGAGTTCAACTTTGAACTCAAGTTCAAAGAACAGGTAAAATGAATATATATTAATAAAATGCTTACTGTCTAGCTGGGTGTTTTCACATACTTTTTACTTAATCCTAACAATTCTATGAAGTAAAATATGCTCTGCATTAGGAAGTGACTTGGCCAAGATTGTGCAATATGTATTACAATCTAATAACAGACTTGCCTTGTAATACTAATTGAAGTTTATTTGTAGTTTTTCAGTTCCAGTTGAAATTTCTTTTTTCTTTTCTGGTACTGGGGTTTGAACTCAGGACTTCGCACTTGCTAGGCAAGTGCTTTACTTGCTTAAGCCACACCTCCAACTCCCCTACCCCTGGTTCTATTTGCTTTAGTTTGTTTTTCAGGTAGGGTCTTGCACTTTTTCCCTGGGCCAGGCTCAGACCACTATCTTACCTCAACCTCTCATGTAACTGGGATTACAAATGTGTATCATCACAGCTGGCTTTTTTGAGATAGGGTGTTGCTAACTTTTTGCCCGGCTGGCCTTGAACTATGATTTTTCCATCTCTACTCCTGTGTAGCTGGGATTACAGCTGTGTACCACCGTGCCTGGCCTGAAGTTTGTTTCTTAAATATGGCAGTTGTGAGTCTAACATATGGGAGATTTTCTAAGCTTTGAGTGTCATTCCATGTTGTATATATTTGGTTCTAGTAAAGACCCTTCAAAATACTTTTTACAGTTATAAGAAAAACTATTTTTCTGAAAATGAATGCTATTTAAAATAGTTTAATTTATTATTTGTACTTGTTATATTAGGTATTTGTTATTCCTATCTTTGCTCCCAACAGGATTTAAGGACACTATTTATTTATACTGGGGTTTGAAGTCAGAGCTTAGTGCTTGTGAGGCAGGAGCTCTACCACTTGAACCATGCCTCTATCCCTTTTTGTTTTGGTTATTTTTGAGACAGGATCTCTTGCTTTTTGCCCAGGTCAGCATGGACTGCAATACTCCCATTTGATGCTTCCCATCATAGTTGACAGGCATGTACCACCATGCCCAGCTTTTTCTGTTGAGATGGGGGGGGTCTCATGAACTTTTTTGCTTGAGATGGTCTAGAACTGTGATCCACCTGATCTCAGCTTCCTGTGTAGCTTCAGATATTTAGTTTTGCAGTTCTAGAGAATCAAACCCAGGGTCTCCTCCATGCTAAGCATGCACTCTACCACTGAGCTAGAAGCATTTTTCTTGACTTTTTTTTTTTTGGTGGAACTGGGATGTGAACTCAGGGATTCATGCTTGCAAAGGAGGCATGCTACATTTTTCCTGTCTTAAAAAAGAAATCTAACTTTGGCTGGATGTGTTGACTCAGGAGGCAAAGACAGGGAGGACTGTTGCTTGAGGCCAGCCCAGGCAAAAAGTTAGCAAGACTCTATCTCAACCAACAGCTGGGAACGGTGGTGCATGCCTGTCATCCCAGCAATGTGGAAAGCATAAATAGGAGGACTGCAGTCCAGGTCAGCTCAGGCAAAAACATGAGACCCTATCGTGAAAAATAACTAAAGCAAAAAGTGGTGGAACACCTGCCTAGCAAGCATAAGACCCTTAGGTTCAAACCCCAGAACTGCCAAAAAACAAAACCCCATCACTTACAACACAAATATAGTAACAAAGGAAAAAAATCCAACTCCAATATTTTACTTTTCTACTGGGCTAAAATAAATGGCTTCATCTTTTCATATTTAATACATATTTGAATATTTTAAAATTTAGAGGATCTATCAAACACATTTCATATTGTAGCATCTTATAGAGAACAAAAGGATTTCAAGATTTATGGTTCTGAAATTACTGCTGTTACAACTGGCTAAGGTTTGAAAGTCCAGCAGACTCCTTATTCTGTAGGAGTAATTGTCCAGGGATAATAGTTTTATATTACGTTCTTATGTTACAAGTACAACTGTTTTATAAACAGATCATCTCTAAGGTATTTTTATTTCACGAACTGTAATGAACCCAGACACAAATGTTTTAAGAACACAAGCTTTTGCAAATATATCAGATAAATGAACTCTTTTTTGTTAATTGAATGGTAACTGGCAAAGTTTCTTATAGATTCTTTTAGGAACAATTTAATGTTGAGAAAAAATGTTTACATTGCAACTTACTACTGGATCTGTAGGATGAAAAATATTTAGTAACCGGTTACAAATCTCTCTAGGCAAAATATGGTCTTGACTTCCAGTGTTTCCAGGTCGAATGCCACGCAATGCCAAAAACACTGCTAGTGGGGATCCCATACAGAAGAAATTCTCAACCTGAAATGTGAAAGCCATCAGAAGTGTTAGTACTTTCAACAGAATCCAGGCATAATGTATTATATAACTAAACACAAATAATAGAACTATCTCTAAGTATTTGATTTTAATAAGCTTTGTCCAAATGTATTTGCACTATTTGTTAATTATACACCAACCATTAATATTCTAGAATAGTCTGTTTCCAGGAAGAATTTCGTTATTTTTAAATTTACCAGAAGTTGAAGAATGAGAAAGATGACAAGAAGGAAGGGCATTTCATTGTGTTTCTACACACTAATCAAAGATTTACTGAGCTACTATTTTGTGTGAATATGCTAGGTGCTATAATGGGTAAAGACCAGTAAAGTAGAGCTCCTGAGTTTACAATTGTGTGGAGAGGCAGAATAAAATAAATGTTAACACAGGGAAGGATCACCATAAAGAAAGGGAGAAAGGAACAATTCCAACTGAGGTCTCTACAGAGGAGTCAGTGTTTGTAGTGGCCAGTACAAGATGGAAAGGATTTTTACAGTTGAGGTTGGTATATTGGGGCTGGAAAGAATGACAGACCCACATGAAATAGAATAGAGACAGGAAAGTATCTGCCTTATTTGTGAAATAGAAATAGGTAAGACTGAAAAACTAAGTGTGGGGGAAACTACACTCGGAATGATAATATTCAGATCTTTAACTGCCTCACTAGGAAAGCTGGACTTATTTTATAAGTAGCGAGGGAGAACAGAATTTGACCCATAGCTGGTAGTATTTTATAAGTAGCGAGGGAGAACAGAATTTGACGCATAGCTGGTAGTAGTGTGTGGATGAATTAGAAAATTGAGAGACTGTTGACTCTGAGAAATATTTAGAAATCTAAATATTTAAAGAGGTGAGGGAAGAGATAGGCTCAACTAAGGCAGGACAAGTTTTTCCATTCATAATGGGAAAGTGAGAGGGTAGAGTGGAATCAACATGATTGAATGGACATGGGGATGAGAAATGGGTCAGAAAGAACTCACAAGATTTGGGTCTGGATGCCTGGGAGGATAGTGGTTTTATTAATTCTAATAGAAAACTCTAGGCAGATTCTTTTTTTTTTCCCTGCACATTAGTGTGAGATATCTATAACATATAATATGTAGCTGAAAGTTTAGAGTAATTTAGAGTGTACAGAATTGGGTACATCTAAATCTATGTCTCACCATCATAGAAGTGGCATGTAAAACCAAGAAAATGAGTAAGCTTGCCTATGAAGTACACAGAGCAAGAGGAGGGCTGGACACAAAATGAGGAGTAATGTCTGTAGTTAATTAGAAGGTGGAAGGGGAGCTACAAAAGGAAGAGTAAAAGAAGAAAGAGAATCAGGATCAAGTGGTATCATGGAAGCCAAGTGAAGAGAGAATTTCAAGAAAAACAGGGTGGGTAACAGCACTGGATTACATATAGAAAGTAATACCTCTCCCTCCTAAGTCTACCCTACTTCTACTATGCCCCTCTTTGATGAATAAGATCCCAAATTTATCCTTCCCTCTCACTCCCAACATCCAATAAGTCACTCTAACAGATTTTAACTCCAACACGTAACCTCGTCACCTGCCATGCAAACTATGTTGTGACAGTATCCTTGCCTTCAATTTTAGATACCTTTAAATCCAGAGTCCACAAGACTCTGGAGTAATTTTTTAAAAAATGAAAATACATATATTTATTTTTGAATAACTATATAGATTTTGGTCTGATAAAAATTTAAAGGATTGGGTGATTTCAAAATGGCTGAAGAAAATTAACTTGTATAAATAAAAATTAAACCTAAAAGCATTTAATTTGATCATGCAGCAGAAGGAGACCTAATTATACTGCATAAGTTCTAGTTATGTGTATTGAATCTTGAGATGCTAGTAGACTTAGTGGGTCATACTCAACTCTTCAGCAAAAAATTCATGAAAGAGTTTACTTTTTCTACATGATCAGTTCTATATATTTATTATTAATTATATATAATAATGATGGTAGAGCTATAACTCAAATTCTAGATCAGGATAACGTCAAAGACCAAGCTCTTTAAATGTATGTTATAACTTTATCATATATTTTAAAATGTAGTATCAGTTAAAGGAAAAAAAACTTTGTAGACCACAGAGATTGAGTCAATAAAAAATTCCATAAAAAATCTGGGGTTGTGAATGTAGCTCAGTGGTAGAACACATAAGACTAGCATGTGCAAGGCCCTGAGTTCAGTCCCTAGCACTGTATCAAACTGGGCAAGGGTGGAGCACATCTCTGATCCCAGCACTTGGGAGCCTGAGGCAATCTGATCATGAGTTTAAGGTCACCATGGGCCACAAAGTGAGTTCCAGGACAGCCTGGGCAACAGAGCAAGACCCGATCTCAAAAACAAACAGGTAAAAATTTTTGTATCATTCCACATTTTAACCTTTACAAGTTCTTGTGATATAAGAAACGTATTTCAAGAACAGGTGATATAGTACGCTAGACATGAGCATATACTCAACAGGAAATGAGAATTAGGAAACTTAGGACGTCTTCCATTTACTGTGTCCTTTTCCAAGAGTGTACCCAGTGTTGACATTTCCCACCTTATCTCTTCCTAAATCACTGCTTTCAACAGGTCATTCTGATGACCAAAATTCAGAAAAGCTTCCCCACTGCCCATCTCAAATCTAAGTCCTTACTTCCAGTTCTTCTTGTTCTCTCATGGCTCCCTTGCTGAGCCCTAAAACTTCAGCCCAACTGACCCATGTTGGGCTTTTGTCATCATATACTTTTTATTGACTGAAATAACAGCCCTGGAATCACTGCTGATTCCAGGTATTTCCATACTTTTTTTTGTCTTACCACTGACCAAAATATTTGTTAATTCTAAATATTAAGTATTTTCCGGATCTGTCTCAACTTTTCTTTCCTGCTACTCTAGATTATTTGGTGTTTCCTGAGGCACCATGAAGTTCCTTCCACCATACCTTTATTTAATACCATTCCTTTTACATAGAATAGCATTTCTTCTTCTTTCACTTGGCCAAATCTAATCTACTGAGATAAAGTACAAATGTCATTCCTTAAAACCTTCCTCTTTTGTGCATGTATCATTCTGTGTACTGCTAACGACACCAGTAATACTGTGTTATATATCCTGAGGGCTAGGGAACCATCCATTCTTTTCTTTGTAGAACCCAGAAACTAACAGTATCCAACACACAGTATGTGTTCAATAACCATTCATAATTAAATTTTCATTCACATCATAACATCATGTTTTAAGTGCTTAAAAAATAATGAAAGACTCATCACTTGTTCCTTACCTTAAATTTTAAGGCAGGTGTCTGTGTTATGGATGACGCCTTTAATCCATGCAGCCGTTCTTCTATTTCCCTCAGCCTAGGAAGTGGTATAGGATTGCATAATGCACATATTTATAATTCATTATAAATAAGCACTGTATTAGAGTTTATTAGACCTTATAAAGAAATGATGATCCATTATCAATTCTCAAATTAATCTCTGTTGATAATATTTAACAAATGCACTGATGCACTACACAAAGTCTATGAAAATCTACAACACAATAAGTATAACTACTCCTCACTATACCTGCTGTTAATAGCCTTTTCTTCTTCCAGTGTGGGGACTGAACTCAGAGCCTTACACATGCTAAACAAATGTCCTACCACTGACCTACACCCTCAGCCCAGTTTTTGTTTTTCTTTTTAGTAAAAATGCTTCTTAGTACATATGCAAGCATATATAAATATCTTTAAGAATTACATCAAATATTTTATACTGTCTTGTTCATTCTTTTTTCATTCATTCATTTTTTAAACTAGGATTTGAACTCATGCCTTGCGTTTGCTAGACAGGCACTCTACCGCTTGTGTCATGCCCCCAGCTCTTTTTGCTTTAATTATTTTTTGAATAGGGTCTTGTGTTTATGCCCAGGTGGGCCTGGCTGGTCATCCTCCTATTTATGCTTCCTGTGTAGCTGAGATGACAGGTATGCATCATCATGCCTGGCTTATTGACTGAGAAGTAGTTCTGTGAAATTTTGGCCCAGGCTGGCCTTGCATCCTGATCCTCCTGATCTCAGTCTTACAAATAGCTGAGATGACAGGTGCGCATCACTACACTCAGTTCTTGGTTGAGATGGGGGTCTTGTGAACTTTTTGCCTGGATTGGCTTCCAATCACGATCTTCCCAATCTTAACTTTCCAAGCAGCTAGGACTATAGGCCTGAGCCATTGGCACATGGCTTTTATCCACTTACATTTAATAAACAAGGAACTAAGTTTTTTTTTTTTCCCAAAAAGGTATAATTCAATTTCTAAGCTTTGTCTTTTAGTAAGTCAAAATTTTAGTTAATTAACTCAGCTGTTTTATGTAATGCTAAACTATCAGAAGAAGTGATTTGTCAGAATTGACACATGTAGTTGTGTCACTAAGAGGACCAAAAAAATGAGCCATGTAACTATAAATGAAGATAGGAATGTGGCAAAGAATTAAAAGATAGTACAAGCAGGGCAACAATGATGAAATAATAATAAAAAATCTGTTTATAATTACATAGCATGTAATTATGTTTACAGACAACATGCAAAAATACATTTGCCAAGAAATATACGAAGGGTTTTAAAACTATTTCTGAAATAATAAGGATACATAAAACTATCAATGAATGAAAACTAGCAAACATTTTCAATATGGGCTTTATGCATTGTCCCAGCTTTGATTAAGTTTTAGTTGTCAATCCTGACAAACTGTGACTGAAGACAGAAGGAGTATAAGGAGGAAAATGAAACTATTTTGTGCTATAGAAAAATGCATGTGATTAGCACAGAAATTAATAGTCTCCAGCTTGATTAGGCATGTTATCTAGTAATCTTTGAACCCTGAACCATGCATTAGTTCTTCACCATAAAAATCTTAAAAGTTTTCTCCTATGAGGTCTAGTAATTCCATAAAGACATTTTAAATCTTTCAAAAGACTACGCTACTTTACCGTCGTTTTGTTATATAGAGTTCATCAAGAAGATGTCGTTCTTCATAACTCATCCACCTTTCATCAGGCAACTCTTCTTCCTTCTGCAGCAACTGTTCATAGAGTCGAACTGGATTCCAGCCAGTCATTATGTCATAAGTGATTACACATCCCAAGGAATGGGACACTATTGAGACTTTACCCCCTTTTTCTTCAAAGTCTGGATTCCGAGAACAGAAAAGGGAATATAATCGATTCAGCTCTTGCTGAAGGCCTTTAACTAGCTGTTTGAAATAAGAAAATATTACATTAGTTATCACTGAGTGCTTTAAGCTTTACTTCTAAACTCAAGAAAAATAAACACAACTTAGGTTTATATACTTAGGTTGTTAGTATAAGTATATAATCATGTACACGTAGGTTATTAGAATGAACTCAAGTGCATTAAAATCTTGCAGGAAATGAAGTTACATATAATAATATTAAAATCCACATCATCACTATAGACTATATAGGCAGATACCACTCACAAAGACCCTTTTGTAGGCCAGAAGTCAACCACATGAATCAGCAGTTCTGTAGATTAAAAAAAGCTCCATGCACATTCCAAGTATGCCCCTGGAAATTTTGTCTCCACTGTAACTTACCCCTATGCAATTCCTAATTTTTATACCTTGTAGTTTTTAGTCATAACAAGTTATAGAAAATGAATATCTGAGTTTACAAGCATATTAACATATTATATACGTTATGTAGTTAGAGTAATGCAAATAAAAGATCAACTGTATGACTAAAACTGTATGAAAAAGCTAATGTTGATCTACTTGATACTTCAAAATCCCCATTAAAGTTGGTGATATAAATGAGTAAAAAGTTGATTTCTATGTGTGAAAGCAGGGCTTTTTAACTTTAGGGTTACTTATACAGCAAGTTATCTTTTTTTTAAAAATTTTTATTTTATTCTTATGTACATACAATGTTTGGGTCATTTCTCCCCCCTTCCCCCTGCTCCCTCCCTTATGCCCCCTTATCCCACCTTATCTCTTGCTACCCGGCAGAAACTATTCTGCCCTTATCTCTAATTTTGTTGAAGAGAGAGTATAAGCAATAATAGGAAGGAACAAGGGTTTTTGCTAGTTGAGATAAGGACGGCTATACAGGGAGTTGACTCGCATTGATTTCCTGTGTGTGGGTGTTACCTTCTAGGTTAATTCTTTTTGATCTAACCTTTTCTCTAGTTCCTGGTCCCCTTCTCCTATTGGCCTCAGTTGCTTTCAAATATCTGCTTTAGTTTCTCTGCGTTGAGGGCAACAAATGCTGTCTGGTTTTTTGGGTGTCTTACCTATCCTCATACCTCCCTTGTGTGCTCTCGCTTTATCATGTGATCAAAGTCCAATCTCTTTGTTCTGTTTGCCCTTGATCTAATGTCCGCTTATGAGGGAGAACATACAATTTTTGGTCTTTTGGGCCAGGCTAACCTCACTTAGAATGATGTTCTCCAATTCCATCCATTTACCTGTGAATGGTAATATTTCGTTCTTCATGGCTGCATAAAATTCCATTGTGTATAAATACCACATTTTCTTAATCCATTCGTCAGTGGTGGGGCATCTTGGCTGTTTCCATAACTTGGCTATTGTGAATAGTGCTGCAATAAACATTGGTATGCAGGTGCCTCTGGAGTAGCCTGTGTCACAGTCTTTTGGGTATATCCCCAAGAGTGGTATTGCTGGATCATATGGTAGATCTATGTTTAGATTTTTAAGTAGTCTCCAAATTTTTTTCCAGAGTGGTTGTACTAGTTTACGTTCCCACCAACAGTGTAAGAGGGTTCCTTTTTCCCCCGCATCCTCGCCAACACCTGTTGTTGGTGGTGTTGTTAATGATGGCTATTTTAACAGGGGTGAGGTGGAATCTTAGTGTGGTTTTAATTTGCATTTCCTTTATTGCTAAAGATGGTGGGCATTTTTTCATGTGTTTTTTTGGCCATTTGAATTTCTTCTTTTGAGAAAGTTCTGTTTAGTTCACGTGCCCATTTCTTTATTGGTTCATTAGTTTTGGGAGAATTTAGTTTTTTGAGTTCCCTATATATTCTGGTTATCAGTCCTTTGTCTGATGTGTAGCTGACAAATATTTCTCCCACTCTGTGGGTGTTCTCTTCAGTTTAGAGACCATTTCTTTTGTTGAGCAGAAGCTTTTTAGTTTTATGAAGTCCCATTTATCTATGCTATCTCTTAGTTGCTGAGCTGCTGGGGTTCCATTGAGAAAGTTCTTGTCTATACCTATTAATTCCAGGGTAGTTCCTACTCTTTCCTGTACCAACTTTAGAGTTTGGGGTCTGATATTAAGATCCTTGATCCATTTTGAGTTAATCTTGGTATAGGGTGATATACATGGATCTAGTTTCAGCTTTTTGCAGATTGCTAACCAGTTTTCCCAGCAGTTTTTGTTGAAGAGGCTGTATTTTCTCCATCGTATATTTTTAGCACCTTTGTCAAAGACAAGTTGGTTATAGTTGTGTGACTTCATATCTGGGTCCTCTATTCTGTTCCACTGGTCTTCATGTCTGTTTTTGTGCCAGTACCATGCTGTTTTTATTGTTATTGCTTTGTAATACAGTTTGAAGTCAGGTATCGTGATACCTCTAGCATTGTTCTTTTGACTGAGTATTGCCTTGGCTATTCGTGGCCTCCTGTGTTTCCATATAAATTTCACGGTAGATTTTTCAATCTCTTTAATGAATGTCATTGGGATTTTGACGGGAATTGCATTAAACATGTAGATTACTTTTGGGAGTACAGACATTTTTATTATGTTGATTCTACCAATCCATGAACATGGGAGATCTCTTCACTTTCTATAGTCTTCCTCAGCAAGTTATCTTAGTAACTTTTCTTGTAAAACTACTTTCTTTGAAATTAAATTTAAAAATATTACTGTAATATCCCATAAAATCAAAAGAATAAGGTTCTCTTGTTATTTAAACTCTTATCAGTCCCTGACCTGAGTGCTTACTTCTATTTGGTCATACACTTTCAATTTCTCATATTAAGGACTCTTTATTAAGCCAGCTGCTACTCTGACAAAGAATATTTGTTTACTTCTACTTTTAATCTTGATATTATGTCTCAAGAGGCAACTAACCAGCATCTTTTACTGAACATTCTTCACCTGCTGACATAAACTGACAACCACTTGAGCACTTTTATGATTGGCAAGGTCACAGTGACATGAATGAAGGCATGACATTCTCTCTGTTGACGTCTCAGTGCTCCATAATGCAAAACCTAAGGATAATTAAAGCTACTGAAACCATGCATCATTGTGTGATGAAATATGTTCAGCCAATGAAGAAAGAGATGAGCTGGTAACATGTGGAAGGATAATAAGGTGCCTTTCCTCTTAAGGAGTTTTACTTTAACTGGATATTTTATGTTTCCTCCCCCTTAGGAAAAGAAAACAAATTGCATACTTTAATGCAGTGGTTCTCCAATTTTCAACATATGTCAGAATCACCTGGAGGGCCTATTTAATACAGATGGCTAGGCTTTATCCCAGAGTTCCTGATTCAGAGGTTCTGAGATGGAGCCTGGCAATTTACATTTGTGACAAGTTCCCAGAAAATGCTGCTGCTGCTGGCCTGGGGACCATACTTTAGGAACTATAATATGCCTGCCTTACTTGTGGCTTTATTACATATGGTTTTGACCAAGCGTGGCCAAAAAATATTAACAAATTTCAAGAAACAATTTTTTAATTGCTGTGTGTGGATTACACAGTTCAGTTGATATGCAGAAGCTCTCGGGCAGTCCCATGTTATTGAGTTGTGTTTAAAGTGTTGTGCGATCTGAATGTTTCTCTGTTCTTAATTTTGTGAAAATAATGCCTCCACCAAAGCAAATGGAGCTCCAAAAAGTGAGGTAAAAGTTATGGTAATCTTCTTAAGGCAGAAAAGGCGTACAATATGCTGACTTTAAGTGATAAGTGAAAATTTTAGATTTGTTAAAAGGTGACATGTTTTTAGTGTAAGTTAGGCGGGATTATGGGAAAAATGAATCAAGCATTCACAGTGTAGTACTGAACTCTATGTACCTTGAGCGTTCATAGCTTTTCTTCAATGGCAGTACCAACGCTCTATTGTACTAATTCAGTAAATGCACAGAGAAATCTTCTAAGACTTGCATTGCAGGTAAAACTCTGAAGTAGTTTAAGGAGTGTGCAGTGTAATATGAAAGTGCATGGGGTTTGTTCACAGGGAGCTGTAATATAATGTTTTGGATCTGGCTTTCATAAACATTACAAATCCTTAAGATTTTGGAGGTTCAGAAAAATCTAATGCTTAGATAAAATAAATTCCTTTAGAAGTGACACTTAATGGTTTTTATTTATTTATTTTTTGGGTGGCTTTGGGATTGAACCCAGGGCCTTGCACATGTTATGTACGTGCTCTACCACCAAGCAACAGTTCCAGCTCCATAGTTTACATTTTTGAAGGCCTTGATTTTAAGACTCATACTGTGTAAAGCTAGAAGCACTAAAAGGTATAAACTTCAGTACTCTGGCTGAAAAGTATCCAACCTTTTGTTTTTAAAAAGTACATAAAGCACATCACCCTACCAATGACTGACCTGTTTCATTTTCAAAGATTTTAAAGCATCCTTCACTATACCAGGCCTTCATTAATCTGACAATCATATACATCTGAATAAGAAAACAAGGTCTTGGTCTATTATTAAATAGACCAAAAAAGTCTATTTGATAATAAAAGATTTCACCAGAGAATGAGATAAAGTGCATGTTCCTGAAGGGGTGACGATTTTGACTGTTTTAATAATTACATCCTAAAAAATGGTCATTGTATTTCCTTATGAGAACATATCTAGATATGGTGGCATTTTCGACCTTTGCCTATAGCTTACATTTACATGAACATCTATGGCTAAACATGATTGAGAAAGCCAACTTTTTAAATGGCTTCAAGCTACCTCGAAATGTTTCCATAACTCATCCACTTGACAGCAAAAGGAGAAATTCGCTTCTACATTGTATCCATAAAGCTTATTGTGACTTTTCTTCCTTTTTCCCCTTTCCAATCCAATTATATTCTCCCACCTAGGATCCTTTCTTGAGCAAGTATATTCATTTGTGCTAAGATTATTGATACAACCTGTGATCTTTATTAGCTCTACAGTATGATGTAATTGATTCAGGGAACCTTTTATATAGTAGGCACTGGGTGGCTTTTCAAAGGTTTAAAACAGTTTCTAATTCTTATAACCACTGC